GATTTTGTTGGAGAAATCAGCAAAGGCTTCTTTACATCTTGGGAAGACACTCTGGCTATCTTAATCAGAGGGCCCTTGTGAAAGCTAGCATCTGTGTTACATAAAGCAAAAATTTTAAACTATTCAATATAAACACAAATCACAAAACATGGCAGAAATATAGTTAATGACATATGCTGCTGTAAGCACCTGCAATCTTATTTGTGCCATTAGACCTGGATGATGCATTTTCTTTTTTCTCAGGTTTATTTGCAGGTGTTGAGGTTGTTTTCATATTTAGCTGTGGCTCATCATCTGAGGAGTCTTCAGCAGCTACAATAAGAGGAGATATAAATGTACAAATTTAGTATGCTTTGCTTTCATAGGCCATAACATATCAAGTTGAAAATATTTAACTTAAACTGCCACAACACTGTAGACGTTGTGTGTTTCAGCTGTTTAGTGTTGACGCTGAAGGTTAAGCTGTGTGCGTCTCTCTTCACTAATGAGGAGTCTTGGAAGATTTAAAAAAATAAATAAATAATCAAAAAGCAAATCACCGTGTGGCCTTGTCAGGAGTTTTGAGAGAGGCACGTCATTGTCAGAGCTCAAGCTTTCCTTTCCTGATCAGAGATACAAGAAGAAAAATACAAGTAAACACCACATCTCCTGCCTCTTTATGTAATGTATTTTACTATGAGTACTCAGAAACGGTATACTAATATATACATAACTACACGTTCACAAATGTTTGGAGTCTGAAAAACAGACGTCTACAATTTTAAAAAATCATAGACATGTTAAGACTGTCATTATTTAACTAATCAGTGTAACTGAAAATGTTATTGTATAATAATTATTATATACAAAAACTTTCTTTAATGTAGTTCATTTTAGTTTTCTTCGGCTTTTAAAACAAGAAATAACATATTCAAATGATTAAAGTAAAAGTATTGAGAACAATCTTTACAAGTTGAGAAAGTTATAATTATACACATGTAGATGCAAAGGTGTATTAGAAGCAAATGTACTTAAATATAACCAAAGTAAAAGTACTCATTATGTAAAATGGCACCTTTCAGAAATTTTTTTATTCTATCCATTACTGTATCTACACTGCTTATCCCGAGAGGGTCACGGGGGAGCTGGAGCCAATCCCAGCTGACTTTGGCCGAGAGGCGGGATTCAACCTGGGCAGGTCGCTGGTCTATAACAGGGCTGACAGGTAGACAAACGACCACACACACTCACACCAACAATTTAAAGTCGCCAGTCAACCTAAGCTGCATGTCATTGGACTCTGGAGTGAGAAATATTACATGTATTATGATGTCAAATCACTACTGATGCATTAACAAGTGGGTAAAATCTTTATGTTTTAACTAGTTGAGATGGAGCTGAATTAAATAACGTTTTTTATAATGCTGGTAGTTTTACCTGTACTTATATGTTAGCTGATCATACATGTCTTGTAAATAATCATCTGCAATGTCACAATTGTTTAAATTTTCCTTTCCAGAAATGTCGTGAAGTATAAAGTAAAATAAAATGGAAATAAAAGAAAATAACATTTTAAAAGGCCCACATAAGTGTACTATGACGCAGTAACTTACCTGCTACCTTCAACCACTGATTACTAACCACCTTAAAATGCCACTAAATTTAAGCTGTAAGCTAACTTAGCCGTTATTAGCGGTAAACTACAACACAGTCCAACATCTCTGCCTCCTCGTCTACACTTTGAAATGACATCGTTAGTCTGACTACCTGAAGAGTCATAAGAGGGCACGTCAGTGGCACCGCAGTCCATTTTGTTCATCGGTAGAAGTAAATAATGCCCTTCATCCACAAACGCGCCAAGTTGGCTTATTATTGTTAGCTTCTTCTGTTAATGTTAGCTAAATTCGCAGTTCGTTTTTAGCTGGTTGTCACTCTTTGCTTTTAAATGTGCTGGTTCGTTAACCTACAGCTACAGTCACAGTGCCACGGAGTCTCATTAAACAAGTTGAAAAACCAGCTACTCCAGTCATGGATGTTGCGTGGTTCCAATTCTTTTTTTTTTTTTTTTGTTCCCTTTAGTTTTGAGAGGCACTGGCTGGGGCGAGTGTTGATGACGATCAGCTACGTCATTGGTTTACTTCTTTGGCAGACTGGACGCAGCGATTAAAAAAAAAAAAACCGGCCCAGTGAAATTACAAATAACCATCTGTTCTACAGCATGTATTATTATTTATAATACATGTATGGTCTAGGGTTACCAACCAGGATGTATCCATATAGCCGTGGGGCTTCATATACCTACAATAAAATTTGTTGTGCACGTTTTCTTACACGATTATTCAAATATGCTGTGTACTCTGATGAACATACAGTACCATACTTGTCTTTGAAAGGAATAATAACTAATAATAGTAACCATTAGGCTAAATACACACACACACACACACAGAGCAATGGCTGTGCACTGGCTCATAGAAAAGCTAGGTTTACACTATAAACTTTGTATTAATAAAATAGCGGCCATCAATACTGCTATTTACTCTCAAAGCAGTCTGTGATCTGACAGCAAGCATACAAAAAGTACATAGCATATACAGCAGTAGCTATGCGCTGGGTGTTATGAAAGCCAGCTTTGCAAAATGTAATAAAAGCATCAGCCACTGACTTAGTATCACAGGCAGAGAAAGTGTCATCAGACGAAGTTAAGTATAGGCTATTGTGCATTTAGGCCTATTGTGTTGTCACAGTGCAGACTGATAGTGGCAGTCGATAGCTCAATTTATTACACACATACACGATAAATACTCAAGCACTGTAATGTCAGACAAACAGGACATGAACATCTAGATGTACTGATTCAAACATAACATAATAATAATCTACATGTAAAGTGTCATTAGTCAACATTAATCAAAGTGAGGACATTGTGCTGTTTTCCAACCTCAAACCACAACTGTTCGGAAACTAATATAAGAAAAATATGGGCAGTTTTTTTCCTCCACTGTTAGGTTTTTCCCAAATATCTTCTAATTATCACATAACATTATTTTCTTCTCTTGTTGTCTGTTAGGTGGTGTTGTACTGATCAAATCCCTGAGAAAGTAAGGGGACAATCTGGTGTCTTCTGATGATTCTCAGTAACAGAGGGAAATTCAGCCTGTCATGCGCATGAATTATTCATTTAAATAGTTTTAAATCAGATAATTACACTAAATCAGACATTCTAGACTATTAGCAAATATCTAAGCTTTCATCCATTTTACCTCCTCATTTGAACTGACAGTAATCACATGTAACATGATGCAAACTGATTATAGTTGTAGAAAGGCAACTCTCAGCAAAGTTATTTTCAAATGTCACTGATATAATCTCTTGAAATGCAAACCTTGGAGATTATATCTTACTCTACTGAAATCATGACAGAATTTACCAATATTTCATACTGCCTAAATTTTCTGATCATCTCATAACAGTAGTGCAAAGTACACCAATCATTAAGCTTGAAACAAATTCAAGATAACTGATTCCTGTTTAGCCCTGCGATGGATTGGCGACCTGTCCAGGGTGTACCCCGCCTTTGACTGATTGCTGGCCGGGATTGGCTCCGGCCCCTCCCGTGACCCCGTTCAGGGATTAAGCGGTAGAAAATGAATGAATGAATGATTCCTGTTTTCCAGCACAGCAGACCCAGGCAGAGCTGCACAGGGATTATCCATTCTTCATGCCAGAAGGATTTTTTGATATAAATAAAAAGCACTTTAAATTCTCATGTGTTAAATATGTAGAGTCGGGTCGTGCAGAGTCTTACTTGACCCTGGTA